ATAGAACCCTTTTTGTATATCATCTATAAAAAAATAAAAAATAAAATTAGATCAATTCGATAATCGTCACATTTTCATTTTATCATATTTGTATTTGAAAAAATGTATGACAAAATATTAAGATTATCAAATTGATCTAATTTTTTTCATAAATGATCTACATAGAGGGTTCCAAAATGAACAGTTCGAATTATCAAAACAGGATCCGTGGGGGGCACCATTGACCCTTCAAATTCTCTCAAGTTCAAATTTAAATTTAAGTTTAAGAGAAACTCAACAACTTTTTTAAATAGAAGGCAAAAAGGAACAAAAAGTCTATGTTCCAAATCAAAAACTCAACAAGAAAGAGAAATTGTTTCAGATCCCAAAAAGCTCTCAAATTTTAAATCATGTAATATGATAGGTTGGGTTGTGCAAAATACCACCCAATCTGTTAGAATCTCACCGATCCACACCAATCTACACTGCTCTATCTACTACCCGCGGTTTGAACTTCAAAATTTATAATTCGCCTTCGAAACCACTCTGCTCCGCTATAGTTAATATATATTTTTTTAACCTCTAATGAAATATCAAAGTAAAAATGAGTGTGAGAGATATTTAAGATGTGAAATTTGTTACAAATTAGTAATTATATATATGAAAAATATTATGTAAAATTAGTTTGTGTTATATATATGAAAAATATTATGCAAATTAGTATTATATATTATGCAAATGCTTGATAATTGGTTAAAAGTATTCTTCAATCGCTAATCCGCTTCAAACTAGCCAAATTACAATTTGCCAATCTACCAAACCGTCATTTGGTTTATAATTTTACTCTCAAACCGCCCCGAACTGCACCATGCACACCCTTAATGATAGGTATCTACTTTTAATTTGTTACACATTCAATGATATAGGGCCCAAATAAGCTGAAGAAAGCCAAGAAAGACAACCATATCATTGTCAATGAATTTGTGGATCTAAGATTTTGAGTCTAGTATTTCTCAGAAGAAAGTGTCCAAACTATTAGATCAATAATGTATAATTATAGAAATTTTTCTAGACCCATAATTTGAATAAATCTTTACCTTAGATAGAAATTGAGAATAATTTTTTGATTATTATTATTATTATTATTATTATTATTATTATTATTATTATTATTATTATGTTGACTTTGTAGAGCCACGAAATAATGTGAAAAATCTAAAAACCCTTGAGAGATTGATTCATGATTATGTTTCAATTTTAAACAGTGAATATCAAACTCATTCAAATAATTAATAGCAAATCGACACAACGATTTAACATAGAAAAAATCACAATTGCAACACCTCCTATTGTGATAAAAAAAAAAAAAAAAAACTACGAGCGAAAATCATAAAACAATCCACTAAGAAGACAAAAATGAATTACACATGAGTACTTTTAATTACCTAGCGAATCCACACCCGAATTGAACAGAACCCAATGTGCCTCTTCCACTACCATCTTTATCTCGGAATTGCTTTGTCCAACAGTGAATCCACAACGCTGATGTTGAATCTACAACGATGAGCCATTCCAGAATCCACCAAAGTTTCAAGCCCAAGTTCCTCAGAATCCACCGATGAACACCTCTCTCTTTTCGTGAATAAACAAACAAAATCAACCCCTAATGTTCAACAATATGTAGTTCGTTGATCAATTGATCACCTTCTATGCATCAAGGAAACTCACCTAAAACCACCTTCCAATATAGAACACTTTGTATTTTACTCCTCTCTAAGAATTTGGACAAGTTGAACCCTAAAAACAGCAAACGGCGCATTTTATAGTAAATAGAGTCGCGATGACCGCTTGAGTGCACACTTTACCGCTCGAGAGGTATGAGTAAAGGCGGTGCAAAACATATAGGCCAACCGCTCAACCACAACATACACTGCTTAAGCGATGAAACGAATTTTCCAGAAGTTCAATTTGTAGGCAAAGATACTAAATGAATCACTTTATCGCTTGAGCGCACAAATGACCGCTCAAGCGGTCAAACCCCAGCGAAGTGGCAAACAAGGAATGCTAAAGATATGAAATGTCAGCACAAACTCCTCTAGCAGGCACAGTTCGAGTTGGATTCGCATCTAAACACTCACTAAAGCATAAAAGCGAATAAAATTACAACTGAAAGTAGTTTTGTTTAACAGAATTGTCAATTACAAAAACCTAGTAGCATGCCATATGAACATAATAGCCCTAAGGCAATGCCAAATAATGGCCGCCTAATGGCCGCCTCAGGCGTCAAATTCTGTGTAAAAATTAGGGCCTCAAAATGATTTAGTTCGTATGTTACGTTTGGTTAATTGAAATGAAATAATCATTCCATCATAATGTTCATTTTCACGTTTGGTTCATTAAAAAAAATGAGAAAAAATATATTATAAATAGAATAATTATTCATCATTAAGAGAACATTCTATTGAGATGATGAGGAATGACCATTTCATTCTATTCAATTTCATTTCAATAAACCAAACATTACATTATTGTATTAGTAGTTTAAAAAGATGAGTAGTGCTTAGGACACAACTAGGGGTGCTCTTGGTTTGGTTGCAGCCGTAGAACCTCCAATCTGCCATCCGTCCATCGGATTGGCGGATTGAAAAAAATCAATCCCCATTCGTCTGCCGGATTGGCAGATGGATGCGAATCAGTTTGACTGTTTAAACTTTTACAAATTTTGAAACATAATACAACAACTTGTCAACACTTTTTTTTTTAAATAACAATCCAACTCAACATAACCAAAAGATTATCAAGTAAATTTTCAAATACCAATAATAAATACATATAAGAAAATCATGCATTATCAAAACTATTTCATTACTTCTTTTTTTATTCAAAAACTATTTAATTTGATTTTTTTTTTAAATGACAAAATTAAGTCTTATATTTTCCATATAAAAATACTAAATATCATCTCTAGCCATTTGATAAAATGACTTCCAAATTGAAAACACAACAGAATATCTAAACTTTTTTTTTTCAATTGGAAACACAGCAGAACATCTAAACTCTTTTTTAATTGAAAATACAGACAGAATATCTAAACAAATTAAAAACACAAAGTCTTACAAATTTCTAGTGGTGCTCGCTGTTTGGCGGTTCGGTTGTGGCCAAAGGAACCTCAAATCTGTCATCCGTCCAAAATTAAGCAAATTGGAAAAAATCAATCCGCAACCGTCCGCTCGTCATCACGCATCCGTCCAAAATGCGACGGATCGATTCAGTTTGGTCGGTTTGGACGGATCGGAATATCCACTGAGCACTCCTAGACACAACCGAACACATAATAGGACACATATCTCTCACATGGTGTGGGACCTACATGTGGGATCTACCTCGTGTGAGGTATATGTGTCTCATTCTGTGTTTGGTAATTGTGTTCTTAGATTTATTGTAAAATAAAGTTTCACTATTTTTTTAAAAAAATAATTGAAGTGGTGAATTATTTAATAGTAATGGATGATTATTTGCTAAATGTATAAATTATTTATAGAATATTGTCAACTATATGAGTTACAATTTCCTCTGGATAAATATTTTTTTTTTTTGAACTGAAATTGATCAAATTTTACATTCAATCAATTATGTCATAAAAAAATTAAAAAAATTAATAATGTTACTCATCGAAAATGTGGAAAATCTATTTCAATAATTATGATTTATATCAATTATAAAAATCATATGAAATTGCTTTAAAAATGTAGTATTATAATTATTGTCAAAAAAAATTATAATTGAATTAGGGAGCCGTTGTTAGAACTCTACTTTGTTCCAAATACACTCTCTTTTTTGCAATTATTCATAGAAAGAAATGTATTTGAAACAAAGTAGAGTGAGAATAGTAACTATGCATATTAAGGACAAATAAGAGAGTGTATTTGGAATAAAGTGGAGTAGGAATAGTGATTTTTTTGAATTATTCACTAATATAATATTTTTAAATTAGATTTATTACTTAATATTTTAAATAATTTTCATGTATAGAACAAGTGAAAAACTAGTAATTTTAGTTATATATATATAAGTAAATTTTGCGTTAGTACGAGTCATAAAAAAATAAAAAATAAATAAAAAAAGTTTCATTTTTTAAAAGTCTCAAGGCCGCCTGAATGTGGGGTTGGTATGTGCTGACTCTAATTTGTTGATAAGGTTGATGTGTATGGATGCATCGGTTGACTGCCTTGTCTAAAATAGTTTTAAAGTCATGAGAATTATTGCCATGTAACTTCCAAGTTGGTGGTGGTTGTTTTGGAGAAAGAATGTCAACATTTTGTATAAAAATATCTTTCATTTTGCCACATTCAAAAAAAAAAATTATCTGGAATCAAAATGTATGGATAAAATTTATTTTCACTTTGACCAATAAAATATTAACCTTAAATTTATGCTCTATAATCTACTTTCTAGATTAAATTTTGTGAGTAACTAAAATTATTCAACTAATTTGTCATGTCCTTTTAGAGAGTGAATTATACTTGTGGTCCTTAAATTTTGCTGCTCGTGTTATTTTTATTTTTGTATTTTTAGTTAGCTTAATTTTGACCTTTAATTTTAGATTTTGTGTCAATTTAGTCCAATTGATAATATTGTTAGTATTTTTTATGCAAAATAATTATTGAATTGGTTGAGATTAACTCACTTAATTAAGTAAATTTGTAATTTTGCCCTTAAAAACATGAACAAGCTATCTACGTATTTTCTATATAAAAGAAAATAAAAAAATACTAAGAGTTGTAATCAATTGAACCAAATTGAGACAAAGTCATAAATTTAAAATCAAAATCAAGTCAATTAATATTATAGAGATCAAAATGACATAGGATTACCGTCGTAATTTGTCCCCTTCTATATTGCAACTGGAACTTGCATTTCCTCAATGGGAGTAGATGATACTGCTATAAGATCCAACATCCTGTGTGATCCTAGTTCCAGTTACATTGTCTTGTGTACCTTTGATACGTCTGAAGTTCAATATGAGGAAATTCTCCACTATTGGAATCTTTTTAGTTGTTTTGCTTTTCAATGAAACAACATTGTCTTGTTTGAGCAATGCTTCAACCATTGGTTGCATAGAAGAAGAGAGACTAGCTCTTCCAAAGTTCAAAGATAGTTTCACAGACAATACAGGTCAACTATCAACTTGGCATAACCAAGATTGTTGCAGTTGGAAAGGTTTACAATGTGATGAAATTATTGGCCACGTTGTTAGGCTTGATCTCGGTGTAAACTTAAACACACCCCAGTTCAACTTTTCTGCTCGGTTAGGGGCTAATGAAGTACATTCTTGTTTGCTTCAATTGAAATATCTGAATCACTTGGACTTGGCCGGAAACTATTTTAACCGTATCCCATTCCCAAAGTTCTTTGGATCAATGGCCCAACTAAGGTATCTCAATCTGTCTTATGCAGCGTTCAGTGAATTAGTTCCCCATCATCTCGGAAATCTTTCTAGCTTGCTTGTTCTTGATCTTAATTTTAATTTTGAAGTAACTATAGATGATTTCACATGGGTTTATCGTCTTTCATCATTGCAATACGTTGCCTTGAGTTTCATGAATCTTAGTCAAACGCAAAATTTACACAAGGTACTAAACATGATTCCTTGTGTACTAGAGTTGCATTTATCAGATTGTGGACTTGATAACATTCGTTAATCTCATATGCATGTGAATTTTACTATTTCTATTGTTCAATACTTATACCTTGGGTATAATTTATTTGAAGGAGAACTTCCGAGTCTCCTTAGGAACCTGACTTCTGTAAGAGTCCTTGATCTTTCAGGTAACTTGTTTAATGGTGCAATTCCAGCATGGTTGGGAAGAATGTCACCCTTGCATAATTTAATCCTCAGTGATAATCAATTTATTGGGTCATCCCACCGTCACTAGGGAACCAATCAGCCTTGACAGTACTAGATCTTTCTTACAATAAGTTAAATGGGACCATTCCTGTTTCTATTGGACAATTATCAAATCTCAAGATCTTAGACCTCTCTTTTAACTTCCTGAAAGGCATAGTACTTTCTGAAACTCATTTTGCCAACCTCTCAATGTTGGACGAATTGAGAACAAGTTCTGCCTTCTTGACATTGAAGGTGAGATCTGATTGGATACCTCCTTTTCAATTGAAATCCTTTCTAATGGGGTCTTGCAAAGTAGGGATTCAATTTCCTCAATGGCTTCAAAAAGGAAGTTGTTGAATTGGATCTTTCTAATACTAGCATATCAAGAACCCTCCCTAAATGGCTTTTGGCATGCCTCTCTTGATATTAGATCTCTCTCATAACCATATCAATGGACCCATTCCGAAATTGCCTTCCACTTTAAACAAATTTGACCTCTCCCATAACTATATCTCAGGACCCTTCCACAAAATATTGGTGATATGGTGCCTACTTTGAAGATTTTGTCACTAGCTAAGAATTTGTTAAATGGTTTGATACCCAATTCACTGTGCAAAATTGTGACCTTGAAAAAACTGGATCTCTCTAAAAATATGTTATATGGAAATCTTCCAGAGTGTTGGGCGGATTCAGAGGAAATCCCAAAACTATGGGTTATGAAATTTTCATCTAACAAGCTTTCATGGATTATTCAAAGCTCTATTGGACATTTGTCTGGACTGGGATGGTTACATTTGAATAACAATAGTCTTTATAGAGAGCTTCCTTTGGGTTTGAGAAATTGCACGACTTTAGTAGTTTTGGATCTTGGTGAGAATGGATTATCTAGAAACATACCTGGATGGATTGGAGAATTAGAATGCTTGAGAATTCTAAGACTGCACAAGAATATGTTCAATGGCAAGATTCCTATACAGTTATGCCAACTGAGTCTCCAAATCATAGACCTCGCAAACAATAACTTAGAAAGAACCATCCCTTCTTGTTTTGGCAATCTCACTAGTATGATCTTGAATGAATCTCCAATACTTGATTTTGAGCAATGGCCATATGAGAACATGATACAAATCATGAAAGGAAATGAACTCGAATACTGCACTACACTATCGTATCTAGTGAACATGGATCTTGCAAGGAATAATCTGACTGGAACGATCCCTGCAGAGATATCACTTCTTTCAGGTTTGCTTGGGCTTAATTTATCGCATTATAAGTTGACAGGAAGCATCCCTAGAAGATCGGTGGCTTAAAGTCATTGGAATCTCTTGATTTGTCTAGCAATCAACTTTCAAGCATAATTCCATAGAGCATGTCAAATTTGAGTTTTATGAGCCACTTGAATTTATCATACAATAACCTCTCAGGACGCATTCCAACAGGAAATCAACTCCAAACTCTTGATGACCCTTCTATTTACGTCGGCAATAGTGAACTTTGTGGAGTTTTTGTACCAAAGAAATGCTCTGGTGACAGACATTCTCAACCTCCTCCGACATCCACAAGTCGTGAAGAAACATATGAAGGAGATGAATCTGAAAATGTATGGTTTTACTTGGTTATAATGAGTGGCTATGCCACAGGGTTATGGGGAGTTATTGGTGTTTTGTTGTTCAAGAAGAACTAGAGACATGCTTATTTTCGATTCGTTGATATGACCAAAGAGAATGTACTAGCAGCTATAGCAGTGAGAGTGGCTCAATTTAATAAGTGGAGTGGCAAGTGAAATCATAATGATTTGCTTTCTTCCCTTCTCTGTCTTTATAGTGTTTGCATGGTTGGGTTGGTGGTTATAGTTGTTTAAGTGCACTTGTTTCCATTTTTTTTTCCCAGAAAGTTCATAAATTTCTTTTTTTTCGATACATCGGAATTACAAAGTTCATAAATTTCATGTTACTGTATGTAGCCTAAATGATTGTTTTGTTGTTGGATTTGTGAGAATTAAATTAATTTTAATTCAGAAAGAAGAATACCTCCTGCCATGATGTTCAAGCATTTGAATCTTTATCCTTGATTGATCAAGTCTTGAATGTATAAAGAAGTCCACTCATAGAACACTTTTACAGAACCATATGAGAAAAGTGAAAGGGACAGAGTTTCAAGCCTATTCTATGCACAAAACAACATCTGTGTTTGATGGCTATCACAGGCATATATATATAGATAGGCTTGGACCTATATCCAAGTGTAACTCCTTATAACTTTCCATCATCAGGCAAGTTGTAAAGTCCTATGAAACCACCATATGGGATATTAAACAGACATCAGTTACCCATTAACCATTAAACTAATTAATTGGTCATTAATTTCTTTTTTACATGTTTCAAGTAATTCATGATTCATTTGAATAGGCCTAGATTTAGTAGGTATTTGTCTTTCATTAAAATTTTTAATATATGGTAATGTAACTACATGCTTTTTCCTATGCCAAAATGCAGTAGGTAAAGTTGAACAAATAGTTGTTTCTAATTTAAGTTTAAATTCATTGATTTGGGAAATGATAACTGGATCAGTTAATTGTTGATCGATTCTTTTATAATTAATTTCTTCTTTACGAAACTTTAAATGACGAGTTAATCGATTTATAGTATGAGAAATAGAACTGTCTTTTAATTGATTTAATTCTAACATTTCAGGAGAAGATAAAAATTAAATGTAACATGTTGGCCTAAAACATATGTAGTTATTCTTTCATTAGATGTAGTAAATGGATATAATAAATATATAAATGGTGTACCTAAAATGATTTTATCAGTCATATTTTTTACTAAAACAAATGAGGTTTTAAAACAAATATTATCTTGACAAACATGAACTTTAGGTATTTTATATTTAGGCCTCGTTTGGGTAGTGGCTATTTTAGCCAAAAAGTCAAAAAGTCAACTAAAACTAGTCACATCACCTCTCTACTTTTCTGCACATTTTTTCGTAAAAAGTCAAAAAATTACTAAAATAATCTGTTTCCAAACGAGGCCTTAATATGCATTTTACTACCATTAGTAGAGGTTAATTTCTCGTGACATTTTCATAATATGTAGTAGGAAGTAATCCTTCTTGAATACAATTTAAATCAGCACCGGTATCAATTAAAGCAATTAATTCTAGTTCAAAATTATTAATAACAATTTTAATTTTGGAATACCATTTTTGCATATAAATTTTATTAATTAGATTTAATCTTTTTGTCTTCAAGATTGTGAGATTGAGAATGATGTGATCGATTATCAAATAATAGATTATTAGAATTAGTAAGATCAGAATCATGGTCGGAGTGTTCAGATTCATTAGGAGATTCATGAAGATTATTTTGAAAATTATCTAAACCTTGATTAAGTTTCAATGTAATAATTTCATCTTCTAATTTTTTATCTTTATTGTGTAAATCTTTAATAGTTTGTTTAATCTGATTGATTTCATGTTGTAAATCTTGGAGAGTAATTTCTTTTTGTTTATTTTTAAATCTGTCTAAAGTTTTGGATAAACTAATAATAGGTTTATCAAACTTAGGTTTGGGATCACGATTAGTTAATAAGGTTTTCAATTTATTAGTATATTTTTGTTTTAATTCTGGATCATCTAATCAACTGATTAATTCAATTAAAGTAGATTCTTCTTGATTTTGTTTAGTAAGGACAGTAATTTATTTAACTGGTTTACAACAAACATCATTACATCCTAATTTAATGTTATTATCGGAATCTTCACTAGGTGAATGGTAATCAGATGAGGTACTAGGATTATCAGAAGAGGAATTACTAACAGTTTGGTTTAATTGAAAGATTTCAAATAATTGAATTTTTGATTCATCATTAATTTGAAGTTGATTAACTTTATCTTTGAGTTTTTGTTTTTCTTTACATGTATTAGAATAATGACCTTTTTGACCACAGTTATAACAGGTTATATCCTTATTAGATTTAGATTTTGGATGATTAGATCTCTTGTAATATTTCTTTTTTGGTTTAGTATAGAATTTATCATTTGATTTGGAGGGTGAATAATTTTTTTTGTATTTAGTAGAATAGTTGTAAGGTGATTTATGTTTATGTTTGGAGTATTTGTGTGATTTCCTACGGGAAGGGGCAACAAGAGGTAATCCATATTTAGCTTTGTGTTTATCTTTATTAGCTTTTTGACTAAGTTTAAGATCAATACACATTTTTAATCCTTCTTTTTGAATTGTACTAATTATATCACCATATGTTAAATTATCATATTCAATAACACCAGTAGGTTGACTAAGAACATCTCGAATTTTATGAGCAAATAAACTAGGTAATTCATTAATAAATTTTTCTTTCAAAAAAGATTTAGTACAGTCTTCTCTTAACATAACTCTAGAGATAAATACATCTTTATACCATCTAAAATCACTTAAGGTCAGACAGGTAAGATTACTACATTGATCGTGTATGTGAGAATCTATATTAGTAGGGGTACCTATAAAATGTCGAACTATGGTGTAGATTAAAGTATTAATACCATCAGATTTGTAATAACCAATAGTTTCATCAAAAATAGGGAGATCATTTTCATCTTTTTGATTAGCATATAATATGGATTCACGTTGATCTTTAGTAAGGTATTTTTCCCACCAAGATTTGAGCATACCAGTAAAACCAGAAGTAATTAATAAAACAATTTCAGGTTGAGTATATTCAGGATAATTACTAAGATAACTATTTGTAACCATAGATAAATGATTTAATTTTTGAAGTATTTGATCTTCACTAAGACCATTAATATTCCATTCGTATAATCTTTTGGCGGAGACGGAGAATTGATTAGAAAGATTAGTTTCTTCATATTGGAAATCAGGAGGAGTAGGTCGAGAATACCAATTTTTGGTGGTTTGTGGATTAACTTTAGGATAGTGAATTTTATTAAGAGTAGAGGATTGGAATTGTTGAGCTAATTGATTAATTTCATTATGAGTTTCAGATTGATCAAAAACAGTATCAATAGGTTGTTGATTTAATACAGTAAGACCTTTTTCTTTAGAGGATGAGGCTGTATCAGTAGTGTTTAATTTAGTAAGTAAATGTTCTATAGCTTTAACAGTAGAAGTATCATTAGTGACTAAACTAGTTCTTTTGGATCTATTACTTGGGAGATTAAGCAAAGGTTGATCTAAAGGTTTGGTAGTAGATGTAACAATAGTAGAATCTAAATGAGTTTCAATTTTTTCTTATTGTGTACCAATTATTTGTAAACATTGGTTAGTATAATTATTTTGTTCAATAACTTTTTTAACTTCAGGGTCAGTACCAGGCAACTTAAAAGGAAAGGCTGGGACTTCA